CCTCCCTCCCTTCTCCCGCCCTCCTCCCTCTTGCCTTCCCTCCCTGCTTCCAAGCACTGTTCTAGGTGCCAAGGACATGACAGTAAGAAGGCCTAGGAAGCTTTTGAATTGGAGAGGTGGCCCTGTGCCCTTTGGACCCCATCCATGTGCTCCCTCTACTTTCCCCTCACAGTTTAGTTTTTTCCATCTTCCTTTGGACATCTTCCATATTAACTGTTGGAAGTTAATTCATGTGGCCACTGAGAACCACGGCCTGCCCTGCACTGGGGTATCACAGCGAGTCGGGGCAATCACAAGGCAAAGGGAGAGCTGGTGCCTGTGCGGTAGGTGACATCCGGCCTGTGCACACCAGCCCTCCCCACTGGGTCCAGGCCCAGCTAGAGCCAGGTGGCCAAAGTCCTGCTCATTCCTATGATCGGTAGAGCTCCAGGACTCTCTGAGGTCCCTGGAAACAGTCAGCTCCCGTAGGGTCTCTACTGCTACGTCCTTGGTCTTAGCCACCCCGTCTCTCTCCTTAACCACTGGAATAGCCTCCCAAGTTGTCCCCTGCTTCCACCCTCACCCCCACTATGGTTGCTGCTCAATTCAGCAGGCAGGGTGGTCCTAGTGACTAATCGTGTCACTTTTCAGTTGAGACCGTCCTCACTTAGGCTCTATGTCACTCAGAGTAAGCCACAGCCTTGACTGCCCTAGAAGACACTGCACAGACGGCCCACCTCCCACCCCCTCTCCCCGCTGCCTTACCTCTCCTCTCCTCCATTTGCTCAGCTCTAACCACGTGCCACCTAAGCTGCTGCTCCAGAACCTTCCTCCCTGGGGGATGCTCCTTGCCCAGATATCTGCAGGGCTCACTTCCTCACTCCCTGAAGGGCCTTTACTCCAAAGTCACCTCAGTGAGAAGGGAGCCTTCCCTGGCCCCTTGTCTAAAATTCCTACCTCCTCTTTGTCATACTGTATCCTCCCACCTCGTTTTCTTTTTTTCTCCTTAGCCCTCACCACTAACTAGCATATACTCTACTGATTTGTCTTATTTACTGCATGTCCCCCAACTAGAATATAAGCTCCATGAGGGCAAGAATTTTTGCCTCAGTGTGACGCCCGTGCCTAGAATAACGTCTGGCACATGGTAGGCACTCGATAAATGGTTGTTGGTTGAATGAATGAATGAGTACAAGAACAACTGAATGCACCCCGACACTAGGCACATGTGTGGGGGGGGGTGGGGGGGCAGGGGCCCAGAGCTGTCCTTGGCGCAGGAGGAGGGTCAGAGTCAGAGAACCAGGGTGCGGCTTCTGCTTCTCTGCTCCTCCTGCCGCAGCCTCTCCTTCACTCTGTCCGTCCCCCCTCAGCTACAAGGCCTTTCTCGATTGCACCCCCCATGTCCTCAGGATAAAGCCCCTGCTTTCAGCCTGGCACCCCAGACCCCTCATGGTCTGCTCCTGGCCTCTGGGCACCCCTATGCCCCAGTTGTGCTGAGCTCCTCGCCATTCCCAGAATTCACCCTTAACCATCACCCCTTGTGCTCTTGCCATTTCCTCCGCTTGGAATTCTCTTCCCTTCTCTGTGGACTGAAAGGGAGCCTCAGCAGGGCCCACCCAGGAGCTTTCCCCTTAGGGAGTCAGATTGGAGGCTGCCGGTGTGTCTGGGAGCCTGGAGGTCCTGTGCTCCTCACTCTGTTGTGTCCTCCCCAGATCCTGGTTAAGTCCATGCTGAGAAAGCGTTCCTTTGGGAACCCATTTGAGCCCCAAGCTCGGAGGGAAGAGCGATCTATGTCTGCTCCAGGAAACTTACTGTCGTAAGTACCAGTGGGCTTTGGCCTGCGGGGTGCTCCCTGGGTGGGGTGGGGGCTCTCGCTGTCCCTGGGCTGTGCAGGCTGAGCCTGGAGCCTGGGGACTCAGCCCGGTCTCAGAGGAGGGCCCCGTTTGCACCTCTGTTCTCAGCGCACCGCAGCCTAGTAGAGGTTTGTAGGCATCACGTCTACTCCTTGTAGAAGGTTGCCTGTCTGTGGAAGGAGAGGCACTTTTGCTGACTCTTCCTGGCCTGGGGGAGTGTTCGCTTTCCTGAGTAGCCCATGCTCCCTCCAGCCATTGCTGAGGCCATGTGCTCAGGCATCACTTTGTAAACGCTTGTCCAGCGAGTAAGTATGGACAGGCAGGCTGATAGGGCCAGGGAAGGGAACTCCCATTTGCCGAAGGCTTCCTGCAGGTTTGAACCAGGCATGTGCATTCACCACCTCCCAGGAGAGGTCAGAAAAGCAGCTCCCCAAACCTCTGTGAGCCTCGTCCTCAGCTTTTCCACCTTCTTCCATTAAAATAAAAGTCAGTTTGGGATGCCAACAAGGCCTGCTGGAGTTTGTGCACAGACCTACAGAGAGAAAATCGGGAAGGGGTCCTGGACCAGAAAGTGGTCCTGGGACCTTGGTTGCCTTCCTGTGGCCTGTGAAGGGTGCTGCAGAGGGGAGACATTGTGCACCCCCCCATCTTCTGCCCCTCCCACCCGCTGTGTGGAGAAGGCGTGCTCCCTAGAGAGGTGAGTGCCACACGTTGTCCGGGGACCTCAGCCTCTCTGGAAGGAGTGGCATCATTTGTGCCGTGCAGGGGCCCAGACACTGGCTTCGTGCGAGGCCATCCCTTTGTAAGTGGGCTCTTCAGAAGTGTCAGGTCCCATCACGGTGGACAAGCTGGGGTCTGCTCCAGCCAGAGGTTGCTTGCACCCGGTAATATCCATATACCAACTGCTTGCCCTCCACTTGACAAACTTCCTGGCCAAGGGAGGTGGAGGGGTGGGCCTTTGGAGAGGCCCTGACAGTACTGAGCTTATTTTCAGCTCCCCGTCTCTTCTCTGGGCTCCTCTAGGTCTGCAGGCCTCGATGCTGGAATTGGGTTTAGTGTAGGGGATCACATATTTAGCATCCAAACAGAGCCCCTTTTGAGAGTGAAAGAGGAAGCTGTTACTAATTATGGCAGGACAAAAGGCATTAAGTAGGACCACGATGATGAACAAACCTGGATGGCTGGTTACTCCAGCTCAGTGCCAGTGACTCCGCGCCCCCTAGTGGTGGAACAGGGCAGTCACAGGCTAAAGAGACCTAGCCCACGTGTGGCACAGAACTGGGTCCCAAGAATACCACTGAGCAAGGCAGTCGTTAGTCACTGTCCTTTCGTGGACGTGTTAATGGGGAGAAAGGCCGGTTTACTCATCTGGACTGTGAGAGGGTTGGGCTTAATCCTTTTCAGCTATAAAATTCTATAATTCTGTGACCCAAGTTTAATTTTGAAAAGCAGGTTTTACCTCATCAAAGTCCCAACATTTGTCCTTGATAGACTCTGTTTTTTATGCTTTGGGATAATTGGCGAAGCTCTACAGTGGAGTTAAATGGGATTGTTTTTTTTTATACCACAATCTATTCATCAGTCATTTTAAAAAGAAAAATCTTAGGGGAATAATCAGATACAGGAATCCATTAACTGTGTGACAGAATTCCAAGACTGATAGGTAGACTCTGCCCTGTGAACAAGGCAAAGAAAAAACAAAACCAAAGCCCCTCTACCCAGGATGATGGGGGCTGAGCTAGGCTGCCGTGGCAGGCCTGTGACCTAGCTGCTACTCAAGGATGCGGGGGAGTCAGCGGGTCAGCTCGTGAGCAGCTCTGGGAGCTGGGCGGGGAAGTCTGCGCTTCATCTCCAAGCAACAGGGAGCCACAGAGGGTTGTGGGCTGAGACCAGGGATAGGGAGACCGGCAAGGGGCCACAATTCCGGGGGCAAGACTGAGGCGAACTTGGGGAAATGGCGCTGGTGGGGGGTGGGGTGGGCAGGGGGCAGTGGTTGAGAAACTGTGGAAAGGAATGGCTGTGTGTGTGTGTCTGTGAGTATCTTCCTGAGTGCATGTTCTGATCCCTGAGGTCCCTCTGCCCCTGGTGTCCCCTGAACAGGAAAGACAGGTGTGGTGAAGGGGGCAAGAGCCTGGAGCTCCCCGGCGTCCAAGAAGATGAGGCTGCATCCTGAGCCCCTGCATGCGCCCAGGGCCACCGGCAGCACGCTCATCCCACGCCTCCAAAGGCCCACTGCCCTCATGCCGACAGCCGCCCCTGCGGGCAGGGGGTTGAGGACTGTGGCCCCTCTTCCGGCCCTCCTCCTTCTGTCATGCTGCATGACCTCAGCGCACAAGTCCAGGGACAGGATTGGAACGTTCGTCATCTGGGGTTTGGGGGCAGGGCTCCCATGAGGCCTTTCTCCTCGTCCTGGCTCTCCCTCGGGGGGACCCATCCTGTGGGAAAGAGAGGTACCTGTGGTGCCTTAGAAACCCCACCTGGCTCGCTGGCAAGGCAGGAGGTAGGAAACCAAGCTAGCGGGTGGAGGCCTTTGTTTACCACCACGGCAGAGACCTCCTACTGGGAGTCAGGCAGGCCTGGCTCAGTTGTCTCATGCACATGGAGGGCTGGACCTTGCCCACCTCAGGGGTTCCTGCAAGAGCTCTTGTCTACTGAGAATGCTGATAGGGAGGCTCCGAGCCCTCAGGGGGGTATTCCTGGGCCTCACTGAGGCAGGGGCCAGCAGTAGAGGATTCAGATTCCTTTTTTTGTTGTCTCTTACTTTTAACATTGTGGTGGGAGTGTGGTGGTGTGTAAAGGCCTCCTTGGGAACATCTAGAAAGCTCTCCCACAGCTTTGGGTGGTCCCCAGCACACTCACCATTATTTGGCAGCCAGGTGGGGTGGACTGACTTTCCTTGATTGTTTCACACTCGGTGCCATCTGGAGAATGGGTTAAATGAAAGCTCTGGGCAGAGGCCTGAGCCAGGAGCACCCACCTTGCCTGCCCACTTTACTCCCTCCCTGCATGGCTCCCGTGTAGAAGAGACACCAGGCGCAGGCCCGACCAACAGCTCTGGACTCAACAGGGCTGTGGCCTTGCAGATGCTGAAGTAACTGGAATCCAACCTCTGATCCTACACTGGCCTGCCCATCTGGCCCCAGAAGCTGCCCTCACATTCCTACAACGAAGGACAAACTGCCCGGGTTGGAGGCAGCACTGGAAGTGGGACCCTGGTGGGGTGTGCGTGCTGGCAAGTGGCCACACTGCCACTGCCTCACCCCCAAGACAGTTGACATTCGGCCGGCACAGAGCTGCTGTGCTGGAGCGAGTGTGTGCACCTGGCCATGCTGGGGCCGACTTGATCTTCTCCCTGGAATCTGTGCCTGGCTGGCTTGGCGCTGACTGACCAAATCCTCAAGAGATTGACCCCCAGAGGAAAATAAAACAGGCCTCAGATGCCTCCCCTGGAAACATGGGCCAAACAAGGGATTTCAGTTGCCTGTGTGGGGCTCCTACTGCAGGAAGGCTGGTGCTGAAAAGGAAAGGGCGGCTGGGCCGGAGGAGCGTGTGTGTCCTGCTCATCTTTGTGCCCGTGGGTGTATGTTGCACCTCCGTGCGCATGCATGTGCGTGCCCCTCTGCTGCACACAGCACGCCTGCACGTCTTGCACTGGCACATGCATCTGTAATATAGTTTCTTTGTGTCTTTAAGCTATGAGCAGAATGTGGCTCATTGTCAATGGGCCCACAGTTCTCCCTAGCTCCTCTGCACTAAGGCATTGTAACCCAGGGCTTAAAAAATAATTCGGTACTGTTTTTAAGAACACTTTTTTTTAGAACTCATGGGAGGCTAATCACAGATCCACAAGTTTCCTTGAGCATCTCTGCACTGGGGCCTGGAGGGTGGGAGTTTCAAGGGGCTACATCCATCAGGCCTGCCCTCGCAGACCTCAGAGGTGGGCCTGGCTTCATTGCCCATGTCAGAGCCTGGCTGGGGTACTCACCCCATTGCTGAGGGTTTTGGTTGGCGTATTGTTCTTGAATGTAGCACAAGTGACGAACAAACTCCATGAGAGTGTTTTCAAAACTAACTTCCCAGGTAGTGAGTTAAAAACAATAAAAGCCCTTTCTTGAGTTCAAAACAAAACAAAACAAAAACTTTGTGTGTACATTTTCAATATCTGGATGTGTGCTCTTTCTCACCAACTGGATCACTGGCTTTGCTAGTTGTTCTGGAAGAGTCTGAGCAGGACAGTGGTGAGAGGAGCTCTGGGGTGGGGGGCGGGCAGGGAGTGAGAAGGAGGCAAGGAGGGAGAGGGAGGGAGAAAGGTTGGCTCTGGAGGGTGAGAAGCTACAGTCAAGGATGTGACTCCATCTCCTGAGTGGGTTCTGTGGCCCTTCCTTGGGAAGAACAGGATGTTGAGGAGCCGGTGGGATGCCCATGTTTCACAGGGACCCAGGAAGCCCAAGGTCTGGTCCTTGGGAGCCGTCACCACTCCCCATGGGGCGAAAGTCCCAGTGGAGCAGCACAGGAGTCCCTGTGACACGTGTCCAGCGTCTTTACTGTGCCCCTTTAGCCTTGGGCACTGGCTTGGGCTTTTTGCACCCTGCAGCTCCCTGCTCATAGTAGGCCCTCCATGGCCATTGTGAAAAGTCGTCAGTGAGGTCAGACAGCCTTGAGCTTGAATCCAAGCTTTTCCATTTAATAGCTGTGTGTGACTTTTGGCAAAGCCATCGGAGGAGTCTTGGTTTCCTCATTGGTAGAATGTGGATAATATCAGCACCTCCTCGGGGGGTTCTTGTGAGGTTAAATGAGGTCCTTGTGCCAAGCATCTGATACAGTACTCAGTATATAGTAAGTACTCAGCAAGTGAGGCCCTTAAAAGAAAAAGAACTTTCTGTTTCTGGGGCTCTCTGGAACCAGCCTTAGAGGCCATGGGCTCAGCACGTCTTGCATGATTGGTATTTACCTATCTGTGGAGTTCCCAGCTGGGTGAAATGAGACCAACCAGGAGACCAAACCAAAGGCTACCCAGCATGCTGCTCAGTTTTTCCATCTGAGAAATGGATACCAAAGCTGTTATTGCAAGTTTCCTGGTCATCCTGGGAAGGTCCCATGAGGGACTGTACCAAGCCCTCTCTGAGAGGGGCACTGGTGGCCAGACAGAAGTTTCCCAAATGCCAAGACCAGTAAGTAGGTCTATCCCCACTTCCTCCCCACCATCTCTCACTTCCTTACTGGTCTCCTGGCCTTGGTCCTTAGGACTCTAATCCATCCTCTTACTGGCTACCAGAGCAATCTTCAGGCACACCCCTGACCATGCCCATCTGCCCATCCCTCTCAGAACCCTTCCATGTTTCTCCAGTGGTCAGCCTGGCATTTGAGGCCCCTGCCATCAGCCCTGCTACCCTCTGGATGCTCTCCTGACCATGCCCCACACTCCATTCACTCCTTACTCCCACGGCTCTTCAGGCCCACCCACTCCTCTAGAACACTGCCTTCCCCCAACCCCTGCCTCTGCTTGTCAAAGACAGCCTCACCTCCAAGGAGGTGGTTCATCCCAAGCGTTAGTCACCAAGTCCTGGGTCTGGGTTTGACAGGCCAGATCATCATGCATAAGAACTTTGAATAGGACCATAGGTGCATGATGTCATTTCCCCACGAGGACAACCACTCTAGGAGGCACACTGTGGTAGGGAAACTGAGGCCCAGGAAACAGTCTCACTCAGTTACATAGCAAGTCAGGGAAGAGCCAGACTAGAGCCCAGATCCCTTGTCTACCCACCCCACCCAGGTCTTCCCACATCAGCTGCCAGGAAAATGGAGAACCCTATTCAGGGAAAGGACATCTAGGAAAACCAGAGACAGGGGCTGCATTTCCAAGCCTAACCACACAGGAGAGCTGAGCCCAAGCCAGCAGTGTCCAGCTGCAGGCTAGAGGACAGTTGGGTTTGTCCTTGGAGGCCCTGAGAACTTGCAGAGAATCTCTTTGGGCTCTGGAACCTACAGGCACTTTGGTCTCTGCTCCTCCCAATCCCTATCATCCTATATGGTCTCAGCCTGAAGTGGGTGGGGGGGGGCTCAAAGCCACTAAGGTTTCCAATTTTCCAGGGGGACACCCAGACACATACTGGGACCCATATAAACACCCCACAAATTACTTAGTCTCTCTCTCTCTCTCTCTCTCTCTCTCTCTCACACACACACACACACACACACACACACACACGAGGCCTACACACCTACATAACCTCCCCTTGGGCAAACAAGCAGGCCTGCCTCCTGGGCCATTGGGACTCTGCCAAGGGAAGCCAGGGGAAGCCATGCAATGGGTGGTACTGGACCCTGAGGGTCAACTGAGGCTTAGGAGGAGACCAGGAGGGTCTGGGGAAGGGTGTGCCCTCCATCTCACCTGCAGAACAGAGTCCTGGTCTGCAAGGACTCCCTGAACCACTCCAGCCTCCTGCTAGACTGTGTGGCCATGGCTTAAATGACCATCTCCTGTCCAGGTCCACTCTGTCATACACAGATCTGGCTTTTTCCTCTGGGATCTCAGACTCATTTTATTCTCCAGCTAGGATGTCCCAGGGAACAAAGTCTCAATCCTTTCATTCTCCAGGGCAGCTGCCAGTCCGCTCCCACATCAAGCTGACCAGTTTGTCACTAGCCCCTCCTAGCTTTGTGGCCAGCCTCCCTCCCCTCCCCACTGCCTAGGCCCCCACCATCCCCAAGTCACCTCCTCCAGGAAGCCTTCCCTGGTCACAGCCCCAGAGACACCCTTGGCATGTGGTCTGGTGTCTAGTCCATTTCCTACAAGACTGGAATCAGGGCCTAGGAATTGCAACCTCACCCACTGACTGAGTCACTTTCTCGACCTATATCTGCCCCCTGACTGTTCCACCATGATGAAGACCATTCAAAGAGCATCTCTCAGCTGAATCACAAGATGGGGTCTTCCTTCTGGGGGCCCCATTCTCTCCACTTTGATCCCTAGTAAGGCCTTTCTCTGACCTGTATATCACTGGCTTTTCTGGTCCCATGTTCCTGTTCCTTAGCCTGAAAACTAGCTCAGGCCTCCCCTGTAGCTATAACCCAGATTTCCACCCCCTTGGCTTTCCAAAGGCTATTGCCTCACACTCCTGGGCATGTAGGAGGAAACCCCTTCTGCCTTCTCTCTCAGATGCCCTCTGCTCTGGCTCCTTCTTTCCTGTTACTGCTTGGCTCACTCTGTCCCATTCCCCGCAAGACCGGTCACTTTTCCTAGCCATGGTCCATGCAATTGGCTGATACTGTCTGCATTAAGAGCCTTGTGACACCCCCACCACACAGACCTTTGGTCTCCTCAAGAGCCTACCTCCCATGGCCCAGACTTGTCTATGCCAAAGGAATGGAACTGGAATAATGGGGAACTGCAACACAGGAAGGAGCTGGTTAAGTCTGTATACTTGGTCTCCCCCAGAGTCCAGGGGACCATCCCTAAGGCACTAGAACTTTCACAGAAGAGGATCCCTTTGCCCTCAGTTTCTCCCATCTCCTTCTTGAAGGCAAGCTGTGCCAATATCTACCCACCTTCCTGGGAAACCCACCCCAAAGCTGAGGGAAGGCTCCCAGCTGTGATCTGCCCCTCCCATTCCCAGTTCAGTCTAAACAGTAGTTATCAACGCGCCTACATGCTAGGATCCCCCAAGGAGCTTTGAAAAAAAAAAATAAAACCCTGATGCCTGGGCTCCATCATCAGAGATTCTGATTTAATTGGTCTGGGATGTAGTCTGAATGTCAGGATTTTTTTTTTTAATTAATAGACTATATTTTGGAACAGTTTTAGGTTTATAGAAAAGTTGAGAGGAAAGTACAAAGAGTTCCTGCACACCCTCTCAGGCTCCCCTCCTGCCCCCCAGGCTCTCCTGTTAGTAACATCTTGCCTTACTATGGTACGTGTGTTACAACCGATGAGATAGTATTGACACATCATAATTAACTAGAGACAGTTTACTTCAGAGTCCACTCTTTGTGTTGTTTGTTGTGTAAGTTTTGACAAATGTATAATACCATGCATCAGTCTTACAGTTTCACACAGAGTAGTTTCACTGCCCTAAGAATCCTCCATGTCCCACCTGTCCATCCCTCCCTCCCCCCAAACCCCACCCTTCACCTACCCCCAACCCCTGGCAACCACTGATCTTTTTACTGTCTCCATATTTTTGCTTTTTCCAGAATATCATAGAGTTGGAATCATACAATGTGTAATCTTTTCAGCTTCCTAGTTGATTTTTAAGTTTTTTTATTATTTTTAATTGAGATGCAATTGACATATAATACTCTATAAGTTTAAGGTGTACAAACATATTGATTTGATATATTTGTATTGCAATATGATTGCCACTGTAGCATTAGCTAACACTTCTGTCTCTTCACATAATTATCATTTCTTGTAGTGGTGGGGACAATTAAGATCTAGTCTCTTAGCAAGT